AGATATCCTTCTGGAAAGAACTGTTGCAAAGTAATAGGCTTCTGGATCCTTTGGCTTATAGAGGCGTGTTTAGTTGACTATGTCTTCTTGACCCATTTTTTGTTATGGCCAGACTGCTTATGGCGATATTGAGGTTTCTTCTTCTTTTGCCCCCTGTCAGAGTAACTAGTCTGAAAAATGTCAGCTCGTACTTCCGTGGTTTCTTTCTTGTTACCAAAGTCCATTCTTCTTCATCATCCTGAGGAAAGACCCTTCCAAAGGTTGAAACGTCAAGTGCACTCCCTTTGCCAAGAGAGATGGGGATTGGTTCCAATGAGCCAAACTGAATGGTTGTGCAATACATCTCAGAAGATGAAGGTTGAGAACGAGCACTCCCCACGACAGAGGTTGTCACAGTAACAGTAGTATGATTTGAAGTTATAACTTCATCCGTGTCCAACAAGATTTTTCCATGTTTTGCCAGGTTCATCACCACCTCCTTGAAGATAAAACACTTCTCAATTGGATGACTAACAATACGATGATATTTGCAGTATTTTGGATCGTTGACACGTCCCATCTCTTGAGGGCGTTTGCATTCAGGGAGTTCTATAACTTTATTTTCGAGTAAACATTCCAAGATGCCAGGGACATCAGAATCGAGGAAGGGGTATTCCTTCTTCTCTAACTCCTTTAACATAGGACGCTGTCTTTCCTTCTCTTGAAACTGGCGAGGCTTTTTATCATCATTCTTATCATCTTTAACAGATATCTTGATTGGGGTGGTTGAGATAGCTATGGAATCTTTAGCAGCGGTCTTTGACGACTTATCGCCCTTCTTCCAGTCTTTCTTATCCTTGCGTGGTTCTATGGCCATGGGACTTTTTCCTTCATGGGATTTCATACTGATCTCCATGTCATGGGCACGTGTTACCAATTTTTCAAATGTGCGAGATTTTATACCTTGCAGAATGTAAAGAAGGCCCCAATGCATTCCCTGCATACACATCTCCACAGTAGAGATTTCTGACAATCGGTCCTTGCAGTCAAGACTGGGTGCTCTCCACTGATTAATGTAGTCGATTACAGGCTCATCCTTCCATTGTTTCGTGTTAGTCAACTCTATCTGATGAGCACTGAAAAGTGCACTTTTAAACCCCTTAAGCTTGAGTGTTCTAGGACCTTTATCTATCTTATTTTCCCATTTTAGTTCTTATTTGCGTTTTTGTCTATTTCAGGTCAATAATGTTAAAATGGGCTAAAAATGGTTTCTTAAGGCCTTTTTGGAGTCAAACTAAGTCTTAGTGATGATCCGGAGCAAAAAGAGGATGATTTGGAGCAAAAAGAGCTTGATGCTGAAAATCTGCCAAGTTGGATCCATCCAACTTTCTGAGAAAAGTTGGATCGATCGAAAATCAAAGTTGGATCGATCCAACTTTTGCTGGCAGTGAGCTGTCTTATTCCGTGTGCACCCAAAAGTCCACCTATCACATAGTACGGGATTAGATATTTTTGGGTCTATATTACTGATTTAATGACTAAGAAAATGACCTTCTATTTAAAGGGAAGTGACCCATTTTGTAAAGAAGCTTTTATCATTTTTATTTCTACATTGTAATTTCATTTCTCTCTCTAGTAAAGTTAGAGATTAAGGTTAGAAGAAAAGAGGGAAGTAGAGGCACATCTCAAGACCCCATCTCTAGACCCACTCTCTCTCCATCTTTAGAGTTTCAAAGAAGAAGAAGAAGAAGAGGTAGGAGAAGATGGAGCCATATTTGGAGCTTGATTCCATGACCACGTCCACCTCCTCCATGATTGGCTAGATCTACACTTAGGGCTTGGATGAGCCCTAAGTCTTGTGTAATCTAAACCCTTGTATTTCTATTTTTGGGGATTTATATATATATTGTTGTGATTAGTGCTCTAGCCTTGTGAATTTCATGAATCTTAGTATATTTCTATGATTTCTATGGTTTAAGTCTTCCTATTAATTCTTTAGTTTATTTATATGTCTATGTGTGATTAAATTAGGAATTATTTCTTACATGATTCATATGGATTAATTCTTTCTATTAATTCTCTATTTGATTACATGTTGTCTTATGTGTGATTATTTGGGAATTAATCTCTACACTAGTTTTTCTATATTAATTGCATGTCTATGTGTGGTTGATTGAAAATTTAGTGATGGCTAAGCATGGGGTTTCATTGAATGGGTTTGTCAATTAATTTGATGGTTTATACTTTTGTTTGATGGGTTGTTCTACAATTTAATTCATGCTTGTAGGTAAGTAGACAACCTATGCTTGCTTAGATATTCCATGGCTTATTATTGCAAATTTCATGATTATCTAGATTGATGTGTGCTACAATTGTTGCTACTTAGATGAGTCATGCTTAAAATTGATGGGTTGTGCTACAAGGTAGACAATTCATACATAAATTAGATGGTCCATGCTTAATATTGCAAATTCCATGATTCTCTAGATTGATGTGTGCTACAATTGTTGCTACGTAGATGGGTCAAGCTTAAAATTGATGGGTTGTGTTACACTTAGTTTAGGTAGACAATTCATACATAAATTAGATGGTCCATGCTTAATATTGCAATTGGTAGTCGCATTTTGTTCACAACAATGTATTCCCCATTAATGGAAAGCAAGTGGTTAATTACATGAGTTTAGTGGTGATTCCAACACCCTAAGACCTCTCTTCATATCTCTTAAATTCCTATCTCTAACTAGTTTACTTTACTTGCATTTTAATTTCATTACACCTTAGTTTAATCAAACCAATCTCTCTCTTTGCAATCTTGTGATACATTAGAGTTGAAGTTAAATTCCAACACGTATAATCCCTTGGGACGATTCCTACTCACTCTTGTTACTTTAGTAGTAGTGTTGGTAGTGGTTTTTATAAATTTAAACTTGATCCAAAAGGCTTTTCTTGAACCGCACATTCACTACATTATTTTGGCGTATATCAAGCGGCCTCGTCACTATCATACTAACAGTACGACGAGTGCTATAGAACCTGTTCAAGAATTTTCGTTCCATTTGGTCCCAACTATCAATTGACTCTGACTTTAGGTTGGTATACCACTCGAACGCGTTTCCTTTAAGGGAGCGGACAAACTGTTTAACTAGTAAGTCCCCCTCTGTTCCGGCATTGTTACAAGTCTCGACAAAATGGGCAATGTGTTGCTTGGGGTTACCTTTTCCGTCAAATTGCTGAATCTTCGGAGGTTGGTATCCTACATGCATCCTCATACTGTAGATTCTCCTTGTATAGGGCTTTGAGTACATGAGAGTGCTTTGTGAGACGCCTCCATATTGGGCTCGGATTGTATTCGTTATCATATCTTGCAATTGTGTGATAGATAATGAAGAGACTGAAGAAGCATGATTGGTTTGACTAGTTGCCTGTTCTGTCACCGGCATCTGGTTTTAACTAGCCACCTGTTCTGTCACCGGCGTCTGTTTGGGGTCCTCCATGCGAGTACCTTGTGCGGTAGAATTAAGATTCTCCGTCGGCATTGCTATGGAAGATGTAGGATTCCCAGACGGTAGTGGTGTGAAAGTTGTACGATTCCCAGTTGGTGGTGCTGTGGAAGATGTAGGATGCCCATATTGTACTGGTGATTCACCGAAGGTCTGAACTTCCAATTTGTTCATCAGCGTAGCGATTTGTAAGTCCTTTTCTTCAACAGTCTTTGTGAGGTTCTTAATGGCACGAGACATAGTTGTTAGTTGTTCCTCCACCGTGGCAGCTCCAGTCATCATAGCAGCGACCACATCTGAGTATGATAGGCCTTGAGAGTCAACGTTTCTTGAAGTGATTGAATACTCCGAAGTTTGACATGGTGACTCTGGGGTGATCCGACACTAGAGCAAGCATCATGGATGGAATGAGGTGAATCTGGTGGCGGAATCTCCTCTGGAACAACGTTAGGGTTCTTGACATGTTGGGTTTTCACGTTTGCCGGCTTTGCAGGATTGGTTTTCACCAAGTCTTGCTGATGTTTGGATGAAGCCATCGCCTGGGACTTGCTACGTGTCATAGTGCCCGCCAAGGTACTTCCATCACTTGCTTTGGCCTTCGTGCCACATTTCATGGTGGCTTTGGCGTCGACCTTTGCAGCAACGATGTTCTTTGGGGCTTTTTTGTCTGTCTGAGCTTTAGGGGGAGCTATAGAATCTGACAAAGAAGAAACTTGATGGTAAGAAAAAGAGATAAAAGGCAAAGAGAGTCCCATCGGGTGTGCCAGAAATTTGTACACACAAATTTTGTAAAGCTGCAATAGAAACAAAATATGTAGCAAATAATATAATTTTATTAATTTGAGAAATTGAGGTACAATCCTCTGTAATATTATTTACAAAAGAAAGAACGGGTCCTCTGATTAAATCTAATTTTTTTGTTGGTTGGTTAGATCCAAGGGCTGCACGAGCTTGTTCTTGAATCACCATAGAATTTGATGAAGAACGGCACGTCTTTGGCTGTGCTTGTTGTTGATCACTGTGGAATTTGATGAAGAATGGTACGATTTGATGTGCTTGGTGTTCTTCGCTTTTGGGTTTGGATGTTGGAGATGAGAGTTTCTATTTTTTTCTCTGGAATTCTAAATTTCTGAATTCTGACTTTGTGTACCCTTCTCCTTTCATCCAGGCCTCTATTTATAGGCTTCTTGGATCCATAGGATGATAACACGTGTCCTCTCTGATAAGGAAAATATCGTAACTGGGCCGGGCCGAATATATTATGATAATTATCCTTAAAAATAGTTATTCCAAATATATTTTATTAGGAATAATTATTCTTTTTATTTAACCATCTGGACTGGGCTTAATTAAATAATTTAAGTAGACTAAACTTGAGCCAATTAAATAACTTAATTAAATATTAAATTCATATTTAAATTTATCCAAATCAAAGTCCACTAAAATTTTAGTATCTAAGACAAGCCAATAATTGCTAATAAACTTATGCGAACCTACACGGGTTCTAGCTCACCAGCCTTACTCTGCCGAGCCTAATCTAACTTTATGAGTTAAGTCCAAGCTCGAATCGTTTATGTTTGGTTCATTGACAGCCCTAAATCTCGCCAATGTCCGTGTCCGTGCTTTTCTGTTACCCTCTTTCTATTCATTCCCTTCTATTCATCTCGCCTCACTCATTTACGAAACAAATATGAGATAAAACTCAACTCGATTTCTTCTTTCTTTCAATTTGATTGTTCCCAACGGTATTCGATTCCTCTTCGATATCAAAAAAATTATCAATGTTCTGTAATCCCTAATATGATGATAAATTCAAACAATTGATTCGATCTCGTGATAAATTCAATCAATCCCTACGACTTCGATCTTTCAATGCTCTTCTCTTTCATCACCTAATGGTTAGTACTTCTTCAACTTATGCGTTTTCGTTTTGTTAATCTCTAACGAATACCCAAAACCCTAGCGGCAATTTTCCTTCAGAATGAATGTTGTTTGTTTCTACAGTGTGCTTAGTTTTTTCTCTGGTCGATTCAGAGTCGGTGATGTACGTTGTAGTGTCGCTTGGTCACATTTGAGGGTTCGAACGTTTGATTAATCGTCCAAGGTTTTGACGCTTCTGGTATTTCTTCACATGGCAGAGACTTCGAGGTCTCGAGTCACAATCACTTTGGGACGTAGTGGGCAGGTACGTTATCTATTTCATCCTCTCTGTCTTCATCGCAAATTAGGGTTTCGTTTATTTTCTGGGTTTTAGATATGCTAATTTATCAGAGAAAATTTTGTGTACCCAAATTGCTAGTTGGGTTATTTAACTGTTTTGGTTCTATGGATTGCACTAGAGGGGCTATTATAGGGTGACTATTGATTCACTTAGCTATTGATATACAGGTGGTAAAGAGGGCAGGTCCTGCAGTAGATGGTACGTTTTCTGATTCTCACCCAGCAGCTGGAAGTCAGAGGTCGGTTAGAGATAGACTAGGAGGAAGTGATGTGGATGGAGCCCAATTCAACAGCAAAAGGTGTGTTTCGTCTTCCCTTTATATTATTGTTTTGTGAGCTAGCTTTGAATTTTGGTGATGGTCCTTCTGAGGTTGGCTTTACTTTTTATGTATAAATGTATATTCACAAATGGGTTTAGAAGAATATGCTTGTTTGGGTGGGTATACTGACATTCAGACATGCTTAAGATTGTTTGGCTTTTAAAACAAAATTGAAATGTTCTACTTATATGAGTGGTAATCTAAAACTAGAAGATGCCAGTGGGCTTGTGTTGTCAAAAATACAGTAAGTGTTTACCGTTGGAAGATTTCTCTAATTTTAATTTTATTTTTTTTATGGTTGCAAATTTTCTTTTTGCAGACAAAGAGGAGATGGTGCTGCTAATTCTGTTGGTGGTAATAGCCTTACTTGTGGCTTTATATTATTGCATTTATGTTTGAATTGATTTCTGAATTTCTAATGTGGGTGCGCCTTTGATATAGCGAAAAAATGTGCTTAGGCAAGTTCAAAGCGATGGCAAGCAGAATGGAGTGGACCTTCGTGACACGCTGTCTAGGGAAATTCGATCTTCAACTTCTAATCCAAATATGCGGCAGCGCATGCCCGAACCAACCAGGCTGCACATTTCTGAGCCAATGGATGTCAGCATATTTAGTCGAATTCCTTCCACGAGAAGTGCAGATGCATTGCCCCAAATAGATTCCTTGAGAAATTCGTATTCTCCATGGACTTTGGATCGTTTAAGGCGAAGATCACCGGATGAAACATTTCGAACATCTAGGGGTCGTTCACCTCGAAGGAATGAGGAAGAACTACCAAAGAGGCCATTAATGAGAATATATGATGATGTCAGGACAGTTCCATACATGAGCAAAGATGTTCTTGAGCCTTCAAGACCCAAGGGCTCTTCACCTTTTGTGACAAAATCAACAGTATCTTCTGGACCTGTGAAGGCTGTGGCACCCCCGCCGCCTCCATCGAGCAGCATTGTTCAAGAGAAGTTCATACACAGTACAGACTACTAGCCTCCTCCCCCCTCCCTTGAAATTAAATATTGTAGCTTCATGTCACTTAGATATTTAATCTATATGATAGCCTTCGATATATTTTCATTAGTTGTGTTCATTGCTTTAATCCATAACATTTTGCTTTTTCTTTAACCGTCAGGAAAAAAACGAATTCTAGTTATTGGATTGCTTAACCATGTAGATTTAGCTGTATTTAATGTATATTAAGACTTAGAAAGGGGCTGGACAAAACTTTGAAGCTGTTCTCAGAGAGAATAAGCTGTAGATCTGTGGTTAAATGTCTGCATTTAACATACTTCCCTTTTGACGTGATAAATTTTGAGTTGATTTCCAGTATACAAGTTAGTTGGAGCATGTAACTTGGCTGGTTACTTTGCCCAAACAACTTCAAGTTTTTGTGGGCATGAATTTCTTACTCTGTATTAAGTTCCTACGGGTTCTAGAATGCATTCAATCAATATGCTTGTTTTTAAGGTGACAGTTGTTGGTAACTTGGTATATAGTCGGATTACCCTTGCTTACGTGTGTGTACGTTGGAAATTGCAGTCGCCTAGTGGGTATGAATCAGGTTGGTTTTGACATCAGGACACCTATTGCCACCTGAAATTTTGAAAAACTCGGCTGTTTGGGCAAGTTGATGGGCCAGGTCATTTTTTTCTTTCTAGATCTACATTATTTTGGATGATAAGTTTTTGTGCATGGCACTATGATTTACATTATTCTTCGTTATTCGAAGATTATAGAAACGTATAAAAGTAATTTGAATAAAAGAGCAGAACGAGAATGTTCATATTAGGTTGGGGGGATGCAAAGAAATTTAGGTTATGCTTGAGGAGCCATTCTAATAGAATAAATAATGTAGGGGTTACTATAATAATTTTTGTAAAGGGTTCCTATCAGACTTCGTCATACGTCATTGGGTGTTCAAAAGAGGAAGTACAGTTAACTAATTTGACTTTGAGATATTTTTTTTATTTTTAAAAGTATATATGGAGGCAGTGGCCTCCCTGGGCTTATACGTGTATATGGTTCCATCGCGATTGTATTAACCTGCTTCTTAAATTATAATATGTTTTTTATTTGACCTATTTTAGCCCCCACTTAATACATTTCTGCAACATGGCAACTTGTGATATGATTTAGGATAGGTTATTTTAAATTTGACTTAGTATGATGCTCTCTATACGTATACAAGCAATCTATATTTCAAAACTCGCATGTTTCACCATTTCCTTTTCTGATTTTCTCGGAGCACAACCATCTTTTCTTGCCTTCTCTTTTCTTAGATGCTTTTGTTATTTACAGCGAAACAGAAATGGTGGTACTCCAACCATTTCAAAGTTTCTGATGAAATGTAACTCATTTTGTTACTTAGGGTGTTTTTTCTCATGTTTTATCATCTCAGCTCTGTATATGGCGTAAAAAAATACCGGTTGACCGAAGGCCTGTACCGGTCGGCCGAAATGACTCGAAAACCTGTAGAACATTCTGCTGTAAACCAGAAAATGCATGGATCATATATACTTCTTCCCCAAAATGATATGGACTAAAATGAAGATTTAAAAGTGCAGAAGTGTGTGAATACGTACATGAGTGTTTAATACATATGAAAACAAAATAAACAAGTAGCTCTAAGGTCTTATTACATATATTAATTCAAAGTATACACCATATATTCATGGTTACAAAAGTACGCAAAAAAACATGCTAAACACTTTGCATATATACAAAACAAGAATGTCCATGACACCATATCCATAACAAGCTAAGGAAAGTGACCATCCATAAAGAACACTTCTTTACCTGAAAAATATATAATTAAGTGTTGGTAATTTAAATTACTCCGTAGGAAAATATGTTATGAGGATAACATAAGGTTTCTTTGGCTTTGCAAGTATAACATAAATCATAACATGTGGAACATGCCTCCTAATGTCTAGTTCAAAGGTGAAGCTAAGAGATCATCCTAGAACTATCATTGAAGAATTGTAAACAATATACACATTCAAAAATGCATTTTAAAAAGATTGGAACATCTAAGATCAAAATCTCAAGCTACAAATATATAATATTGTCAATTTGGTAAAGAATTACGAAATCACATAATAGAGATATCTTGGACTTACAAACATTCGGTTATGAACATTACAACCAAGACAAAATTAGCTCTTTTCAGCTACTAACCCGTAGGGAATAACCCAAGTTGTCACTATAATTGGGGAGACCTTTTACCTCTCTCACTAGAGCCAAACCCTAGCTATCAACATAACAATGTCCCAAGTTTCTCCCAAAATCAACAATCATTTCCATAATATAATTATATAGGATGTGAAGATCAAGAACTCTATGTCCTAAGTCTTCAAAAATAAATATGACATGATGTAAAATAAGTCATCTATATACATATGCTAACATTGAGAAATCAATTAATTCATGCTAGCATTACAAGCTCTCTAATACCTTAACTATACAACCATATAAGAATTATACAAGTCTCTAGCAAATTACAATGGCAAGAAGAATACAATAATATAACAATTACATCTCAATGAGACTAGCATTAACATATCTTTCTATCAATTGCATAACAAGCTTACAAGACAATATATACACATGTTTTCAAATAATGTAAAGCTCAAGTCAAGAAAGATAAATCTCATGAATCTTTCTACAACTCATACAACATGTATATAACTCATGGTAAACCCCAAAACATAAGGAAATTTCCTAGGTTACAATCATACTACATCCCCTACCTCACTAGACAAAGCGTCTTTAGAATCCAAAAGAAAAGTGAGTAAAGAGAAAATCCAAAAGAAGGGTCTTGTAGTCCAAAGTGCAAGCAAACTTTTCTCCTATTTTCTCCTTCTATGGTAAAGCCGAAAGGTGAGAGGCAGGTAGGTAAAACTAAGTTCTAAGGTGTGTATCAATGGAGGTTGGAGAGAGAAAATGAGAGGAGAAATATGAAGTTTAGAAAAAGATGGAAGACCAAAGGAGATATATATTACTTAAACATGTCTTGCACTACCTCCCACACACACCCAACAATCCTAGCCCTCCACTTGTCCTCATCACCTCACCACATGTCCCACTTAAAGGCTAACACTTGGTCCAATCCAAATATGACATTTTGTACAACTTCTCCAATTCGCACAAAAGTCTACCTATGAAATATTTCCAAAAGATATTTACACTAAGGTCCCTAAACAAAATATCTCCAAAAGATAATAGCACAAAAAACCCCAAAAATGAAAATGTCGACCCAGAAGAAATAAAGTATATACACCCCTACAAAAGCATAATATTATAAGCATGCATTGTTATACAATTAAATTATACATTAAGGATAAAATAAACTAAATTAAATGCATGAAGTGTCGGAAGTAAATCCAGGACACTAATTACCTCGGGTCTTCCAAAACCCATAGGTAATAAGAAACAAAATAAAAATAAGTAATAAATTAAAAATAAATAATTATAATTAAATAATATTTAAAATAATTATAATAAATAATAAAAATAATAAAATAATTAAAATATTATCTCAAAAAAAAGAAAAGATAACACGGTTATCACAATGAGCTAGATAGGGCATATGACTACTCGCATTCATTCACCATTCATTTCGTCCTTACTCGTGTGGTTTAAGGGATTTTGTTGTGACATGGTTGACATGTCATCCATGACCATTTTGGTCATAGGGGTTGGTATAGTGTCTTCTTCGGATCCGGTTTATTTTCATTTCACTTATGCACGGGGTCCTTAGAATTCGGTGTGTGACACAATATTTATAAATATTTAGAAATTTATCTAATAAGTCCATGCATGTGCGCGCGCAATTCAACGCCATCAACAGCTAATCAAATTTCTTTAATCATTTGGTTAAAACACATGTTGGGTAATTAGCATTAGAAGCAAAATATGAACAACTAAAATAAAAATTGAATTTCTATTCTTTTCAGCTCTAAGTAAGGTGCCTTTCACTGATTCCTGAGACAACTTCATGTTTCCTTGGTAGCTTGGAACACATCCCATATGTAGCATTTATTTCTTAAATAGATTTTCAGCAACATATACATTTTTTTTTATATCTTTTTTTCTTTTATTTGGTTTTTCTGTTGAAATATATATATAAACGTAGTAGCATTTATTTCTTACATAGATTTTCAGCAACATGTACATTTTTTTTATATCTTTTTTTCTTTTCTTTGCTTCTTCTGTAGAAATATATATAAACATAAGTACCTTTTTGGTCAGCTATTCATACAATGTAACCTAGTCAACATTACATTGGTTTCAATCAATTATCTTAGAGTTGAACTAGTGTACAAAAGTAAGTATTTAAAAGACTCATGGCTATAAATGAACAAATAAAGCAAATTAGTAATCAATTCATAAATCACGATTTCATTGATTAACTATGTGTCCCAATTTGCATTCACAAAAATATAATATTATATTATATTAAATTTAGGAATATTTGAGTAATTAATATTTGAGTAATTAATATTGATAAGTTGAGGGCAGTAGATGCACACACAATGCTAGTTCATGCAACAGACTATTAGTCTGACAAGGGTATCCGAGTAACTTTGCAAAAACTTTATTACGAGAGTAATTAAGTCAAACCTTAGGGTCAGAGTAATTTACTCAAATAATAATAATAATAATATCTTGTGTAACAAAATATATATATATATTTTTTCCGTAAATAACAAAATGTTTTGCGTCCAAATAATTGGAGAAGTGATTAATACTTTTTTTTTCTTTTACCGTAAATTAATGACCCTTACCGCCAAAATGATAATTTGACTTTACAAAAGTCTTAACTGGATTGATGACCCTTGCAAGGCCAAATTTAGTCAGTCGTTTTGAATCTTCGAGAAAGCATAGATCTCTCTTTCTACCTCTTAGAATAATTTAGTCAGTCGTTTTGAATGAATATGAGAGAGAGAGAGTGCATACAAAAGTGCGGGGGTGGAGGAATTGGGTTGCAAACAGGTGGGAGAGAAGCTGCAAAACTCATACAAGAAAATGAATGAATGTGAGAGAGAACTCATACAACAAGATGAACGAATATGAGAGAGAGAGAGTACATACCCCCGTCCAGAATACGCCTGTGCGGGATGGTGGATGCTTTTGGCGCATAGAGTAGTAGAGATAAAACCATGATAATCCAAATCATGAACAAGCAGGTTCTGATAGAATATATATATATGTATATATATTCTACACGCCGTAGTCTAAACAACCAATGCTCAAATTAGTGAAAAAATAAATAAATAAATAAATAAAATAAAAAGGAAGAAGAAGAAGAAGAAGACAATATTGAGTTCACACTGACCCAATTAATAGGCTAATAAGCTTTACAAGAGGAGAGAGGTCCAAAATAAAAACAAGGCCCTTCATACAAGAAGTATATGAACGGCCAACTTTGATCCTGACTGAGTGCACAAATTCTAAGAGCAATTCAGTAAAAAATGTACAATATTTGTCTACTCACTAATTAGTAAATACTTTACTGATTTTTAATGTAATCCAACCACAAATGCACACATATCATTTAGTTTCAAAATTAAAATAATATTAAATAAGTAAAATAAACTTAGATTGACCCGACTTCCCTTTATTTTATTTTTAACTTTTTAATTAATGACTAAAGAAAATGTGTTAAAATAAAATTGAATCACATCAGTTGTCACCGGTGAGTAGCAGATAAGTTACAGATATTGTTCTCATTTCTTTGGTGCAAATATTGTTGTATTATATATGGATGGTCTTGATTTAAAGGGTGACATTTTGCAAATATAGAGATACTTACCATGTATTATTTGCTATGCAAGGCAAACTTCAACCGCGCAAGAATGACACACAAATCCAAAAATGGTTCAAAATTTTACGATTTTGGAAAGAGCCACCACTTGTATAAATGACAGCTTCTCGGCACCTTCAGTGGATATATGATGGTGTAGGTGTCAAAATGTCTATTCCTATGTAGCCAACTTTAGCAGCGTAATGTCACGGACTTGAACCTTTTCAAGCTCCCGTGCGGCCTTAGACACTTTCAAGCCCCCTTGAAGCGCTAAGTCAGCCTACCCGAGTGTGCTAGCTTAGTGAAGACTAAGGCTAGACAAGTGTTTTGCTTACTTGGGTGTGTAGGAAGAGGTTAGGCAAGTGAGCAAGAGAGTTTGGGAATGTATACAACTTGTATTACTTGAGAGGAGAGATTACAACTTGGTTGCTTGGTGAGGAGCAAATGAACTCCCACCTCCTATTTATAGGCCTTTGGCCTTACAAGAACATTCTAGATGTGTACAAATGTGTGGCCTAGATTTAGTGTCTAGAATCCTCCAGAAATATCTACGCAACTCTAGAACTATCTACTATGTACAAGACAAGTCTAGAGAATTCTAGAGAATTCTATACAACTCTAGACAAATCTAGAAAAGGCTAGACAACTCCACACTAATCTAGAGAATTCCGGAAAGTTCCATACTTGTGTAGAGAAGTCTAGAAAGCTCCAATCCATGCAGGCTCCATGTCATCGTCTGCTGGGCGTCTGCGTGGCGCCTGCGTGGCATAGCCTCTTGGTAGCGGGGTGTGACATTCTCCCCCACCTAAGCTCGCGACGCCCTCGTCGCGTCTTCTTGCTTGAACCGCTGGATATGCTCTGCGAACTGCCATAGTGTATCCTCATGCTCCCAGCTCGCCTCGCTATCTGGCAGGTTCTTCCACTTCACTAAATACTCAGTATATTTGGGCACACCTCTCCTGCTCATCACACGATCTGCAAGGATGCAATCAACTTCCTTGTCAAAGGATGTGACAACGGCCGTGGGTGCCCTATGCGATATGCCCCGAGTAAGGTCTTCCGTGTCTTCATGATAAGGTTTGAGCATGCTGACATGGAAGACTGGATGTATCTTCAACTTGGGTGGAAGCTCCACCATGTAGGAGACCTTGCCCACCCGCTTGACGATAGGGAACGGGCCCTCGTACCTCCTTACTAGCCCCTTATGCACGCTTCGAAAGGACTTAAACTGTTGGGGTAGTAGCTTAACCATCACCTGGTCTCCCACTATGTACTCCACCCGCCTGCGCTTGGTGTCGGCCCACTTCTTCATCTTCTTTGCCGCCTTGTCAAGGTATGCCCTAGCCAAGTCGGACTGCTCATGCCACCTCTTGGCAAATTTGTAGGCCGCCGGACTCTTACCATCGCAAGTCGAAGCAATGGCGTTGGGTGTCATAGGCTGCCGTCCGGTAACAACCTCAAATGGACTGTGATTGGTAGCCTCACTCCGCTGCAAGTTGTAAGAAAACTGTGCCACTCCAAGGAGTTTGGCCCAATCTCGCTGGTTGGCACTCACATAGTGCCTTAAATAAAGCTCCAGAAGAGCGTTGATGCGCTCCGTCTGCCCATCTGATTGGGGGTGGAAACTCGTAGAGAAGTTGAGATCCGTCCCCATCTTCTTGAAGAGTCCCGTCCAAAATCTACCCGTGAAACGCGGGTCTCTATCACTGACAATATTCTGCGGAACTCCCCAAAGCTTGACCACATGGTCAACAAACAACTCTGCTGCCCTCTCTGCGGTGCAGTCTGCTGGTGCGGGTATGAAGGTGGCATACTTGCTGAACCGATCTACCACCACTATAATGCTCCCGCAACCCTCTGACTTGGGCAAGCAAGTGATGAAATCCATAGAGACGCTCTCCCATGGTCTCTCTGGAATAGGTAATGGCTCTAGTAGGCCTGCAGGATGCTGTTGCTCAATCTTATCTTGTTGGCACACAAGACAAGTCCTCACATATGTCTCCACGTCATCTCGCATCCGAGGCCAATAGTAAGAATCTTCTAGGAGTGCTAGTGTACGCCGCATACCTGGGTGTCCAGCCCATTTGGTGTCATGGCACTCCCGTATCAACTCCTTTCGCAAGTTGCCCCACCTGGGCACAAATAGTCGGTCCCCTGTAGTGAGAAGTAAATCATCCCTTAGCCAAAAGCGCCGAGTCTTCCCTTCTTTAGCCAGCTGAATAAGGCTTTTGGCTAGAGGGTCATGCTGTAACCCCTCCTTGATCCGTTCCACAAGAGGGTGCTGGGGCCGACTTATAGCTGCGAGCTCGGCCTTGCGACTAAGCGCATCCGCCACCACATTGGCCTTGCCCGGCTTATATTCGAAATGGTAAGTGAACTCCGCTAGGAAGTCCTGCCAACGAGCTTGCTTGGGGCTAAGCTTCTTCTGTGTCTGAAAGTAGCTGGTGGCAACATTATCCGTCTTGATCACAAATTGTGCCCCGAGCAAGTAGTGCCTCCAAGTACGTAGGCAATGGATGACCGCCGTCATTTCTTTCTCTTGCACAGTATAGCGCCGCTCAGTGTCATTAAGCTTGCGGCTCTCATAAGCTATGGGGTGTTCTTCCTGCATCAACACACCCCCAATAGCGAAGTCTGATGCATCCGTGTGCACCTCATATGGCTTGGAGTGGTCGGGCAAGCTAAGTACCGGCTCCTCCGTAATTGCCCTCTTCAAGTCATCAAATGCCCCCTGGCACGACTCTGTCCAACTCCAAGCACGCGCCTTCTTGAGAAGGTCCGTCAATGGGGCTGCTCTCGCCGAGTAACCCTTGATAAAGCGGCGGTAGTAGTTGACAAGCCCAAGGAATGAGCGTAGCTCTGTCACCTTAGTGGGCGGCTCCCACTCTTGAATGGCCCTCACCTTTGCCTCATCCATCATTAGCTTGCCATCCCGTATCTTATGCCCTAGGAACAACACCTCCTCTTGGGCAAATGAGCATTTCTCCATCTTCACATATAGGTCGTTCTCCCGTAGGACTTGGAAGACCGCCCTCAAGTGCTGCACATGCTCCTCTAGAGTGGTGCTATACACCACAATATCATCCAAGTACACCACCACAAATCGATCCAAGTAGGGATGGAAGAGCTTGTTCATCAAAGTACAAAAAGTAGCAGGTGCATTGGTGAGGCCAAACGGCATAACAAGAAACTCATAGGAGCCATACCTCGTTACACACGTAGTCTTAGGCTCATCCCCGTCCGCTATCCGCACCTGGTAGTACCCCGAGCGCAAGTCAAGCTTAGTGAAGTAGCGTGCTCCACCAAGCTGATCAAAGAGATCGGCAATGAGAGGAATGGGGTACTTGTTTTTGATAGTCACCTTGTTGAGCGCCCGGTAGTCGATGCACATGCGCAAGGACCCGTCCTTCTTCCTCTGGAACAACACCGGTGCGCCATATGGGGCCTTCGATGGTCGAATATAGCCCGCATCTAACAGTTCCTTAAGTTGCCTCCGCAACTCCTCCAACTCTGGGGGTGCCATCCGGTAGGGCACCAAAGCAGGGGGTTTAGAACCCGGTTCCAGCTCAATCTTATGATCCACCTCCCTCCTAGGTGGAAGCTTCTTGGGCAGCTCTTTAGGCATCACGTCCGTGTACTCGTCTAGCACGGCTTGTATCTCCTTAGGCACCTCTTCTTGTGGGGAAGGGACTAGCTCATCTTCGGGTGTCTCCAGTAACGTAGCAAGGTAGCTAGTCTCTCCCTTCTTGAAGCCCTTCTTGAATTGCATAGCTGACAAAGCTTGGGCTTCCAACTTGGCGCCTCGCTCCACTGGCACCATGCATGCTGTGTTGCCTTCCATAATACACATAGTGTTAGCAAAAGGGATGGGGAAGGCTCTCACCTTGTCTAAGAACTCCAACCCAAGGACTAGTTTGAAGTCGTCCATGGGTACCACCGATAGATCTATGTGGCCACCCCACTCGCCAATGCATGCTTGGACGCCGTGTGCCATGCCATGTATGGCCTTTGCTGCCGAGTTAACTGCCTTCATGGAGCCCCCTTCTTTGTTATACTTGAGGCCCAATCTCTTGGCCTCGTCAAGGCTCACAAAGTTATGGGATGCACCCGTGTCCACCAAAGCACGTGTGGGTGTCCCATTGATG